ATTTAAGTGTAATATTATTTTATTGAAGAATATGTGGTTAAAATAATGTCAAAATACTGTTTAAAAATGTATTTTTTTGAAAATAATGGGGCTCAAACAAGGGCTTAATATTTTATTTATTTCTTGCATTAAATAAAGTTGATGCGAACTTCCATCATTAATTATTTTGCTAATTGTCTTGTTAGTCGGTCAATTCTCAAACGTCAGATGTTAGACTGATTCTTAACTAAGGACAAAATTTAAAATAATAATAATAATAATAATAATAATAATAATAAACTATTAAGAAGAAAAAGTAAAATAGTATTACTTCTCTTCAATTGTTTTTTATGACCTTAAGTCCTCATGCTTTATGAAAATATAATTATTAGGGCTATTTAGCTTTATTCAAATTGAGAATACCCACATTTTTGTCCAGGTTTTCTTGTATCTTTTTAATTTTTTATTATCATAGGCTTATAATTCATTTTATATATTTTAAGATGGATCTCAAATTCTTATAAAAGAAAAGAGGACAGTAAACAGTCAAATACTTAAAAAATTCATAATATTTTATGATATGAATTACCTTAAAAAATATATATATCAACTGACCCCATTACCTCCACTCGTAGGAATTATGAGATCACCTTAATGGTGCCTTAGCGAATCAGTCATAGAACCATTTTCAATAGGTGAAAATGCATTACTTGTTCATTCTTAGGTTTGGACAACATAGGTCGAAGATGAAATTGAAAAGTTCATTTTTCAATGAAGTGTTCATCCGTAGAAAAGAATGCATTGTTGAGTAGAAGATATGGATATAGTCTCGCTTTGATATCAGGAAGTTCTATAAATATAAACAGAGTATCACTCGTTAAAAAAATTAAAAATGAAAAAAAATACTATTGTTCAGTGCACTACTGCTTAAATAGTTGATCACATCAATCCTATTTTTAAAATTTATTTTTCTTCAAACTTACTTTGAATTACACATTCTCTCAGTAAAATGCAAACAACTAAGAAAATAAATTATGCAGAACAAAGGCAAAATAGATTAATCCGGCAAAATATATGGTGACTCCACCAAGTGGAGCAGACCAATCAATCAATGCCCCCACAAACAAAGTCATTGTATTATTATCAATAATTATAGACTTTATATACCTTCCCCAGATAATACCACTAATAAATATATTTTATAAAACTTGAAATAATGGTTAATCATTTAATGTTAGAGTAAAATAGAAACCATTTTCATAAACCTTGATGGATAAATACTAACCAACCTCAACTTATAGGCATATTGTGTGTTGAATCGAAGTTTACGATTTGATTGTTGACGTCAAGTAAAGGAAAAATTAGTCGAACTTAAATTTTCAAGGATGAAAGGTAATCATTTAATAATTTTTTGTTATATTCGACCCATGTAATCAATTGAGAACAAATATTAAGTCTTACAATACCATACATTTTATTGCAAACTCAAAAACAAAAAATCGAAGTTACAATATAAAGACGGAATCTAACTAAGACATTAGATGATCAAGATTTGATACATTGATAAACGGTCTAGTGTCGCATGCTGAACTAAATGACAAAACATCAATAATGAACATCTGACCCACATAATCTTATTTGGATGTATTGTTGTTTTTATATAATTATTATAGTAGGTAAAGAGCAATTATATACTTTCTCAGTACCATAAAAATATGTTTGATTTTACTTTTTCGTCTGTTTTAAATTGCAAGTCACTTTTTTTTTTTTTTTTAATATACTTCTATTTAATGTGCCTTATTATCAATAGATATAAATTACTCTCATTTAAATAATTATTAAATGTAGAGATATATAAGAAAAAATGGAAGAAAAATTTATATTTCCAACTATAATTATGCTTTCTTAATCTGTGGAAAATGAAAGCATGCATATTGTTGTGGGGGTGGATGGAATATAAATAAGGGAGACTTGTAGTTGGGTCCCATACCTTTCAATTAGTTGTGTGGGCCACCCATCTGGGTGGCGCCTCGGCATTGGACGGGCACACCACGTGGATGCTGCGCCTGCCCCACTGAAGATTTAGTCCTATTACAAAGGTCAAATTTGATTCGTTAATAGTGACTCAAAAACTAAAATGCAAATGACAGGTAGCCCTCTTCCTTGAGCCCACAGTTATTAAGCACAATCTTGCTTTGGGATGACAAGCCCAGAAACTCTTCTACCTCTTTTAGTCCAACCATAATTTCTCTTTCCCTTAGTCTCACCTTTATATGCATTCAATGCAAACAAATGCCATGAAACATGAATCGTAATTATAATATGTTGTCCGCCTATAACAATTTTCGTCCCCTTTAGGTAAGGGTTCGAAGTGAGGGTGTAATGGTAATGGCACTAGGCAACAATGAGTGGTGGGCTTGATCTGATTTTGGTTGACGGTTGGGATGGGGTTGGAGTGATTGAGAAAGACGATGAAGTGGGATGTGAGTTGGGGGGGGTACATATTTCTCTTTTCTTTATTTTATTTTTTTTAATTTTTTGATTTAATCATTTTTATTTGATAAAATATAAAGTTACAAACTTATCCTTCATTTGACTGGTCAAAATAGGTAAAAAAAAAAATTTAATTTTTCGATCTGCTAACGGATTTGTCCTCTAGGTGCAATCAAGAAAAAGGTTTGAGACTATGGGTGTAAAAATGAAAGGTTTGAACATACTATGCAACTAATTGAAAAGTTTGGGACCCCAGCCGCAATTCTCCCTATAAATAACACCAAAGCAGCTATTTTACTAAAATACTGATTTAAGCACTGCATTAAAAGTTATACTTATCATTGGAAGATAAGAATCAATAGGTACCGCACCAATCACCATCACTAAATTTAACTGTTAATAATAAGTTATTATGAAAAAGAATAATCAAATTAAAAATGCAAAAAGTAAGTTAAATTATTTATTAAAAAATTCCATTATTGCGTTTACCAATCCTTAGATTCAACAAACGTGTTACATGAAATAAAAGATCGATTGCAACCTCTCTAGAGTGCTATTTGTTTAGTATTTTTAGATCTTCCCTGTGGCTGCCGCTAGAAGAGAGAAGAGAATAGAGAGATGAAGAGCTGAACACTTGCATGCAATTGTGAAAGAAAAAGATGCAAACTTTCTTTCTCTGTGTGTCTCTCAAAAACTTAGCACCAGTTCAAAATATTGTGTTCAGAGAGCAAGCGAGAAAGTCAGAAAGAAAAAGGGGTTTTAGTTTTATAGGGATTAAAAATCTAATCTTTTTGGTACATATACTGAACTCTTGAACTTTTGTATTTCCAATTCTGGTTCTTGAATATTGAACAAGTTAGGTTGAGTAAATCAGTGTGTGGGATTGAGTTGGGTTTTCAGTGTGGAAAATTGAGTTGTAGACACGTGGAAGTTTTGGAGGTGGATTATGTATCAAGATTTGGATCTGAATCAATTGAATAGGCTATTCTGAAAAAAGAAGAGAAAATGGAATCTGGCTTGGAAATCGATGACGGCAATGAAACTAAGGGAGGCATGTGGGTTTTGGACCAGAAGCTTGATCAGCCGATGGAGGAGGAGGCTGGAAGTCTTAGAAACATGTATAGAGAAAAGGGACTTATTGATTATAAGTACTTTCAGAAGCTAAAAGCCTTTTTGCTCTTTTTAATTATTGCCTTTCCTTCAATGGAAAATTGTTAATTGATGATGATTATGCAATAACCCCACTGGATTTACATAAACTTTAGCTAGTTTTTACAAGTCACATTTAATTGTATTTAATTCACGATGTAGAATCATATATAG